CTAATAAAAATATAAACAAAGTATATATAGTGCCTGGATGATAACATTATTACTTGTTTTGCAAATATTATCAGAAACAGCTAATGCGTTCATTCCACGGAGTGCATTAGCCAGTGTCTGCCATACAAGAGTATGATCAGAGCCTTCAGTCAACCACTTGGCTAAACACTCCCTCAGGCAATTTGAAGGATCTCCTTTATTAGCTGACTCAATAGCTTTCAGTGTGTGATAAGGTATATCTAGATTCAATCCAAAGTCAAACCATCTTGCATTAGGAAACTTATAATGCCTCAAGACTTGTAAAACAAACTTTAACTTGCTAATATCTGCGCACAAAATATGTATATCAGTGTATTATAAATAATCTGACTCACCTAATAGGAAATGTGATGCTTTTGAAGCCATTTTAGGTCATTCACGTGTCTAGAGGGCATAGGCCATGGGGCGGGTCACGCAGGTGTGTATATGTCTGCCATAAGCTACACATGGGACATGGCCTGAGTGTATTGGGTATAATACCCAACAATTTTTAAAAAGTCAATTACAATGAATAAAAATAAGGAGAGGCTTTTTGTAAACTATAATATACAGTGTGATAATGATAATAATAATCTTTATTATGCTACAGAACATTCGACTAAGTAGATGAAATAGATTCACCAATACATACCAGAAGACTCTGCCAGTTACTCATTTATATAAGTGTAAAGTACTTTTCCTTGCAAAATTTGACAATAACAAAATAAACAAATATAATTCAAAATAACAATAATAATATTTTAAATACAATTACACACATTCTCTATATTCTCGTCAAGTACAAGAGAGCCACTCCTCTCTCTCCCCTACTTCTAATGACAATTTCTACAGTTAGGATGACACCTGGCTCCATTAACACCACACCTACACCCACCACTGGTATCACCACGACCCTACAAACATTCATAAAAATTACATAAAATTACATTATACCAAGAATAGCTACTTTTGATTATACATACTGTACATTATACAGATGTGTCAAAAATCACTATAATGTGGTGCATGAAACATTACTTTTGGTCCCCATCTTGGCCCTTTAGTAGCCCAGCACATTTCTGTCTTGCACATGACACATCTGATCCAATCACAGCCAACCTTCTTAGTAACAATGACCTTGCAGTTTGGGCAATGCATTGCTTCACCATCAGTTACCATTTTCTAATGAGTTAGAGAAGGAAAGGGAAGAGAAAAAGGAAGGAAATCAGTGTTAAAAGTATGCTAATAGTATCAATTTTTACTTCAAGCATTGCTTGAGTCTGTTTTGCTGCTTCATCATTAGCTGCCTTTATCTTCAGGTCATCTTGATACTCCTGGCAGTTCATTCCTTCGTGTTGAGCTTTGCACAAAATACAATTTAGCTTATTACAATTCTGACACTTAAACTCATTCACCTACATTGTATTAAGGAAATCAATCAATAACTATATAGTTCTTTCTCTTTTCTTAAACTCACCTCATCTTCATAAAAACAGAATCCTGGACAATCTGCTGTCTTACAGTGAAAGCTGTTAGGGTCTGTGGCCTCAGCTACTCGAAGGCCTCGCTTAAAGAATGATTCCAACTCCTCGTCATTCAATACCTAGATGTGTGCATTAAATAGAATAAAGGCAATATACCCTAGAGGCCTTTTTACTTCGCGTGTTTCTCTCTCTGAAATGTATTCCTCACATTCTCCATCATCATCAGTATAAGGACATTTGACTCGAGCCTCTTCTGAATGTGAAATGGTACCTTTTAAACAATTCCTAGAGATAATCAGAAAAAACATATAACTCATGCTCTTACAGACACATGAAGCACAGAAAAGCACTAATGACAGTAGAATGAACTAGCTATAAAAGGAAATCAATATATGAATCAATGATCATTTCTAAATGACAGGGTTTCCCACAAAGCATGCTAAGTGAGCAAAACAGCACGAGCTTCATGAGCTGACAAGCACTAAAATAGTAATACATGTATATGCATTACTTTTTGAATAACTTTTAAAATTTGTAAAAATCTAATTCAGCTCAAACTTTCTATACAACATAAGAAATTATAAAAATTGAATCCAAGCTTGACAAACAAATGGAACAATGCCATCAACTATACTACAAATAATGGTACATGTACATGTAGTACAATAGAGAGCTTACTTGCAGACCATGTGTAAACAGTCTCTCAGTCTAATACCCTCTCCAGGATCAATGTCAACGTAACAAACAGGACACTCAAATTCTTCTTCATTAAGTACAACAGGTACAGCATCAGTGTTCAACAGGTCCCTATAGTTCTTCTCTGCTTGCTGTCTTTGCATCAACTTCTCGTTCTCTAAAAACTGTACAAGTATGTGGATGTGCATGAATAATATGTGTGTATACATAACCTCTTAGTATACTGAAGTATGCAATAGTATACTGAAATATAAGAAGTTGTTACGTAGACACACACATAATCAGTTTGTGTATTGCATGTGTCACAAAGGCTGTAATGCTGATGCCAGCAGCATAGTGTTGTCATTTTTAAAAATACAATGTAGCACACATTACACTAATATAAAGTATAGTATATTCTAGTAAATCTCAGTATACTATTTTAAAATCTCACATTATTAAGTTCTTGTAGATCATTATTGTTCATAAATTTCTTTTCAGCATCAGTAGGAACATAATTAGGCGGAGGCTGATAGTCATCAGGACGGGCACAATCACACAGCTCACAGCCGGGACGATATGGCAAGTTCTTAAAAGTACAACTGGGACATGCCCAGCCCGGGGGTTCAGGAGGGGGAGAGGGAGGACGAGGATCAGGGCGTGGCCTCCTTTGATAGTCCTCTTCAATGGGAACTGGTAATGGTTTGACTTCACGGTAGCGTCCATCATCATTGCGTTGGGGGACAGGCATCATGACAGGAACAGCACCAATAGGAGGAGGCTTCTTAGGCTGCATGGACATGGGGCCCCTAAACATGGCATCATCATCACGACGAGAAGGGTCAATGTCACGACAAGGGGCCGGGTCATATACTGGGATCTGAGGGGGCTGCTCCAAAGAGTAGCCCCCAGGAGGAGGGAGATTCTTACGAGGTTGAATTGGAGGTGTGTTCCCTTTAACGGGCGGGGCTGGTTTCTTGGATTGTGACTCGACCTCTTTCATGGCATTCTTGTGGACTTTAGCTTTGTGGGGGTGCTGCACGTAGACGTACACAGCTGTGTCTTTGGTTAAATTTAAATCAGCAACCGTTTGCTTGTCTTCAGCTAACTGTGACCCAATCACCCAGTACTGACACTCCTTTGGTATTTTGTAACCTTTTTGTACCTTAGAGAGAGAGAGAACAAAATGAATAAGCAAAAAGGCTAAATGAAAATAATAAAAAAACAACAATGCACAGCACGTGTAAAACATGCATAAGCTACAAGCAAGTAATAATACATGTACATGTACAAAATGTATTAAGTGTATTTTATCAACTTACATCTAATTTAAGTTTCTCTATTGTATCGCTAGCAAATACTTCAGGATATACAGTAAAGGTCTTTCCATGTAATGGCTCTACAATCAACTCCAATCTAAAAATGAAATAACAACAAAATCAAAATGATATGTTATTATTGCAAATTAAAGCTGTCAATTAAAAACTGTCTAAAAAGGACACAAGTCAAATGACAACACAATTAATTTATTCTAAGTAATTATGCCTATCTCTCTCCTAAAGGTTAATCATTCCTATTTCATTACTTGAATCCTGAAGGTGTGACTGGTATTCCTGGTTCAAACATGATGCTAAACTTTCCGAGAGACTCTGTAGGTAAAGACGCATCAGAAGATCCTGACTGAAGCAACGAAAATAAATAACCAAGGAGTTCATGAGAATCACTTTGATTCATCGTACTAAGGGATTCAGCTAACCTTTGAGCTAGAGAAAGAAAAGGTAGAAATGTAAAAGAAAGAACTTAAGAAATACTTAGCTACATGTATATACATTGTACTACTTAAGCATGAAACAGTTATGCTTCATAACTGTTTGTTAAACAGCAATACATTGAATGTGCTGAATTCCAAAAGAAATAACTACATGTAAGTCTTTACACAAATCATTCATTTATGCCTATTGTAATAGAGGGAGTGGAGTGGCAGTGGAGAAATACATCAATTGAATTGCAGCACTTTTATTGGAATAGGAATACCACATCGAGAGATATCTTGAAGAAACAAAGTACCAACCTACAGTTGGTCCGTAAAGGATGGGACCCAGGGGGTACAAAGGCACTAGTTGCAGTTAAACACATACACATGTACATTGTACATGTACTTACTTGCTGTTTTTATTTCTGTATCATCAATCGAGCTCTCAGGGGGAGTCGATTTAACAAGCGGTTCAATTTGCTGCTTCTTACGCCTCTCCTCCTCCCTATACTGCCCTCCTCCTCCTCCTCTTCCCTCCCGGTCCCGCTGGTTCCTCCTCTCATATCTACCCTCATCCACATATTCCCTACCACCACCACCTCCTCCTCCTCGTTGATCCATTCTCCTCCTCTCCTCATATCCATCATCAAAATACTCATCATTACTATTATCCCTCCTAACTCCTCCTCCTCCTGCTGGCCTCCAGTCTCCTCCTCTATCATATCCATCTTCATTCCTTCCTCCATTCCTCTCATAGCCCCTGGAGTTGTGACGGTAATCAGGGTCACGAGGGTATCGTTGTTTATCATACTGGCGTCTCTCTTGCTCATATCCCTGAGGATTCTCGCTCTGTCTCTCCCAGTTATCACGACCGTATCCTTTACCGTCATGGTAGCGATCTTGATTGGGGTCCCTGTCGTCACGGTAACTTCT